GTTTTGGTTTAAAAACATTATATAGTGAAGATTCAAATTTTGCACAACAAATTCGTTCAATACCAGCATTAGCATTATTACCAATCCCTGATGTTATTCCAACATTTGATGAACTAAAAGCACAATTATATATATCGAAAATATATAGCGCTTGCTGAGCTTGAAGTCCTTCTTGACATTGTTGACATCCATCGCGTTCATCTCAATCTTCTTACCAATAGGAGAGACGATCGAGCGTTGTTATCAATAGTCAAGGATGACAGGCCACATACATGAACTGTCACACCATCAAAAAGCAGCAAAAATCAAAAGAACACACATTGAATAAATGAAACGCTGACTAAAAAGTGCTTGCTCACCTTGAAGTCCTCCTTGCCATTGCGCGACATTCATCTCGTTCATCTCAATCCTTTTACCTATAGGAGAATCATTCACCGATGATACCAATAGTCAAGGATGACAGGCTACAGAAAAGACTTTCAGAATAACGCAAAGCAACGAAACATTCTACAGGCATGGAAGAAAAAAATAAACCAATACGTCGCCTTGAAATTTTTTCCCTACTCTTATCTCAGTGACCCTACCACATCGGCAAAATCTCAACTCCAAACGAACTCACACCATTAACTTGAAATAGGAGTAAAACAGTTCTCAAGAAGTATGCAAATATTTCGATTTTTAGGATATGAAAACACGTTAAAAAGTTATATCCACATATGATTCAATTTCAGCTTTTCGCGCGTGAAAATAGTCAAAGCATTGTGAGAGAATTGTAGATAATATAAAGGAGAAAAAAACGCATGCAGGTCTCAATATTGCAGCGTGAGGCTGACAACAGTTTTGACTCGAAATGAAGTTAAGGAAAGTGTTTCAAAACCGCCAAACGCTCAAAAGTATAAATTTTTCAGAGTGAAAACTATGACAATTTCTAGATGAAATTTACGTGAAAAAAATTGCTCAAAAGACGTGAAAAGATCAATCTTCAGGCGTCTTGATGGCTAATAAAAAAATTGAAAATTGAACGCAAAAAATATTCAGGTTACACGGTAATACTTCTCTCTTTTTTGTCGTGAAAACGCTATAAATTTCTACGTGAAATGCGGACGAAAATTGTATTGAAAAAAACGCCGAAAGAGATCCTATCACGATCGCAAACCTCACTAGTAATATTTTGTCCCATAACGGCGAAGAAAACTTTCTCTAGATGCACATATAGATTCAACTTATTGACCATTTATTCGCGTGCAGGAAAAAATCGGTGTGATAACATTGATAGAATACAAATTTGACGCGTGTACACGAACATAAAAAATAGAAATGCAAAATCTTTGCGTGTACACACTTTAAATTAGGAGTTTTTAGAAAAATTCACGACCAGTTTCTGCGGCACGCGTTTAAACGTAAAAAAAGTCGACTTTTTGGGCGTTTATGCGTGCTTTTGGAAATTCGTGTCTGCCTGGGAAGAATCTTTCCTTCTCTTTATTTCGATGCTATCATACTTTATAGTATTATTTCTGCAAATACTTGCATTATTCGTGTATTTCCTTGAGTTATGCGCTTGTTTAAATAGTTTGTTGTTTGTCTTTTGCAATAATCAAAAATAGTTTCCTGTTGAAGTTGTCGGTGTACATACGTACCTGAAGTGTAAAATGGTACTCTTAGTGCATGTCTCAAACCTTTGTTTTGGAGTATTTGTAATTTTTCCCAATACTTTTGATCTACACTCAAAAATATTGGGGTGCGTATGATAATACTGAACGTACAATGCTTTTATATACTGTCAATAATGCTCTTTCTGAGTTATCATCAGAGTTTTTTGCTAAATAGCTCAACACACCAAGTCTTGTTGAAGCTTTTCGTTTTATTTCGTCGATATGTTTGTTAAATCTCATTTGTCGATCAAATATGATTCCTAAGTATTTCACCGTGTCATGCTGTTGTATTTGTTGACCATTGATTATTATCGATATTGGTACTTTCAATCGGCGTCGTGGGTGTTTGGTGAAATGAATCATTTTTGTTTTATTTGCTTTTATTTCCAGCTTCCACAATCTACACCATTTCACGTTCTTCCCCCATTTCTATGCAACCATGTATAATAAAACGAAAAATAAATTTAATCTCGAATTTAAATAAATCAAGCTCGAATTTTGAATTAGCGACCCCTTACGTTATCCAACGAATTACCTTATCGTTTATCTTTTCTTGATCTGTCCTTAAGGTTAACAAAATATATTTTAAGTGAATGCGCGAGTGTAATTCATGTATAGACTGAACGCCATCGATGAATAACTTTGTTTTTCTAGACCGAGTGTATATAAGCAAGTATATATTTATACTCAATGCATTATCAAGTATCATTACTACTACAAAAAGCATCCTTTAACAATTTAGCAGATTTAATTCTATTTGAATTATTTGATTCTTTAACATCAAATGAAATATTCTATTCATTTTTCAACATTAATCACAAGTTAAATAATCTGGTATATGAATTTCGCCGCTATTTGAGGAGGATTCTTTGACAACCTTTGACGAACATCAATATTTGTTATAAAAGTCGTTCCGTACACATCAGCGGTCATCGTCATACAAATATCACTCAACGTAGTGCAAGCGACAATATAATTTTATATTTTTTTGCTCTTTTTTCCACTTACATACCAGGTCTGTCTATTTGGGACATAAAACTGAAGAGCCTATGATAATATAACAATAAAGATTAAACTGCGTATGTTAGTATGACAAAATGTACATAAGTTTTCGGCACGTTTCTTCTCGTGAACAGTCTCGGGGATTGTTCGTAATGATGACTCTAATACGAAAGCGATTCTGTTATCGTATTTTTTCTAACGAAAACACCAAAACGTGTATATTTATTTTCACTATAAATACTATTAAAGGCATTTTTATAAATGAAATTCATTGTTACATTCGTGATTTTATTCTTCAAGGTTAATACGATTTGCAGTAATTTTGAAATTCCACAAGGTATGAATAAGTAAGCCGATCATTTTTTATACAAAACTTCGAACTTCTCTGAACGAACTTTGGTTTTAATACTTTTGAAGTCTTGCATTCAAACTGAACATAATTGTTATATAGTTATGTTACGTTTCTCACGATCTAATCGCTATCTATTTAAAAACTTTTAGATAAATCTTATCTACTTTTCTACCAGGTTATCTTATATAAGATTCCTATAGAAATCTTATAGAATATCTGGAAGAATCTTATAAGATTCTTATAAGAATCTTATGAATTTCTTAATAAGGCAGTCGATGTAAATGCGTAAGATATTGATAAGAATCTAACCCCAAGAAAAGAATTCAAGTAGCACCAGTTATTGTTAAAGGCATTCCAGATGTAAATAAAATACTATTAAATAAAATCCTGAAAAATAAAATGCCTGACGCAAAAATCGAGAACATATTCCAAAATAAACATAATTTATTTACTATCCAACCATCAGATACAAAAACATATAATCAACTATTAACATCTTTTCCGACGGATTCATTTCCAAGTGAAAAACATGGTATTAAAGTCTATGTTCCAAGTAACATCAAATCAGTGTTGGATACGGAAAAAGTTGCCTTTATAAAACATGTTGACCAATATTTTTCAGTTGATGAAATCAAGCATGCATTAACAATAAATGGTTTTAAATTTGACAGTGCTGAACGTATTTATGTTAAAAAAGATAATAAACCAACAAAAACAATAAAAATTATTTTTGTTGATAAATTAAACTGTGAAACATTTTTAAAAACCGGGTTAAAAATTAATTATTTACATTATGATGCTGAACCAGCTAAATCAAATACGCAGCCCGTTCAGTGCTGCAAATGTTGTAAATTTGGACATCTAGCAAAATATTGCAAAAATGTTGAAATATGTAATAAATGTAGTGGTTCACATGCAGGAAACATTTGTACAAGTACAGATGTTAAATGCATAAATTGTGGCGAACAACATATGGCAACATCAAAACAATGTAAAGAATATTTAAGAAATAAAGAGAAAATTAAGAAAACAAGTCACGAATATACAACACCAACAAAACAAAAACCTAATATGGTGATGACTTTCCTTATTTACAATCCAATCATTGGACAGCTACCAAATACCAATGTGGAAATCATCATAATAGTAATAATAATGAAATGACAGAAGAATTAATAGAAAAAATGACGTATACAATTGTTCATGCGTTGTCATCTGCAATGCAACACATGGCTACATCAATTGTTTCGATGATAATGCATCAACAGCAAATACCACCGTTATTATCATCTACATTGCCAATGAACCTGGTAAGCAGCCGCAAAGGTGAGGCGATACCACCACCAATACAAGGACAAACACAAGCAATAACAACACAAATTCAGCCTGATCCACCTACTTTAACAGCCGCATTGGTATCCACAAACAAAAATATGTTATTCAATTTAACACCAGCCATAATGCTCAACAAATCTCTAAAATCACCATCGGAAAATTGCCCATCAAGAGATGATACAATAACAAGATCGAGAGCAAGATCAAATTCAAAGAAAAATCAACGACAACCACACAAAAAATCACAGACGTTGATGGATCATTCGGAAATGAGAAGAGGTAATTCTAATGTTGCTGATTCATTATCGGATCGTCAATCAACAACTATGGATACATAATAAACAAAAATACAAATAATACATCAACATCATTATTTAGTTAATTAGTCTGAAGCAAAAAAAACAAAAAAAAACATATTTATTTAAATTAATTTATGCGAGTCAATTAGCTGTACCAGAGGCGAAATCATTTAAACGTCTCACACCTGTTAAACCCAGTAAAGAATCACTAAATTTAATAAAGAAGAAACATCAGATCTGCAGACAGTTACAAAAAAATCCCATCAACACACGATTAAAAGACGAATATTATAAAATTCACCTACTTGCTCGAAATTCATTATCAAATGACAGACGAATACAGTTCAAAAATTGAATGAAAAACTTATCAACACCAAAAATGAGAAGTGATCAATTATGGTCTGTAGTAAACAGATTTCACGGAAAACGCACAAATCAAGAATTAAAGCACGAACTAAAATATCGAACCAAAACAGCAAAATTCGATCAAGAAAAGGTGGACATGTTTAAGACATATTTCGAAGAAGTTTATGACAACAAATCCCACAACTGCATACAACAGTTTGACATCGACAGAGAAATAAAACGAGAAATTGATAGATTAACTAAAATAAAAATATTCTCACATCCTAAAACAACCGAAAACGAATTGAAAAAATCCAATTTTGAAATTAGGCAACACGGCAGTTGGCCATGATGGTATTCATAATAAATGTTTAAAAAAAGTACACTAAAACTTTGCTACAACATTTACTAGCGTTATTCAACAGTAGTCTCAAGCTAGGTGTCATACCACCACAATGGAAACTAGCTCATATTATACTGATACAAAAACCAGACAAAGATCCAAATGATCCCACCACTTACCGTCCCATTAGTCTGTTGAGTTGCCTTGGTAAGCTAATGGAGAGAGTAGTTAAACAAAGGTTAAACGAATTTGCTGAACAGCATCATTTACTCCCTAACTATCAAGCTGAATCCCGACAACAAAGAAGTACAACAGATAATCTATTGCATTTGAAACATGATGTAGATGTTAATTTATATGAAAATAGGCAAACAGCACTTATCGTCTTTGGCATTAAACAAGCGTTTGATTCTGTGTGGTTTAATGGGTTATTGTACAAGTTGAAGATGAATGTGCCCGAAAATTTCAAAGTTCAAATCTTTGCCCTCGTCCTCCAAGCAACAAAAAAAAGGTTTGTTTGTTTGTGTTTTTCTGTTTTTGACTATATGAATCGCATAAATTTTTATAGGAATCTTATAAGTTTCTTACGTAAGAATCTTATAAGCACAGTATGCATTTTCATCGACTGTAGCATAAGATTCTTATAAGATTTCTATAAGATTCCTATAGGAATCCTATATAAGATTTGATCTCTAGGGTATGCAGATGTGCTTTCTCTTTCTTGGCTTTCTACGATTAGAATGTTTCCCTAGTTACTTTCTTTGTTCGCACTGCCTCGTACTTTTTGCTTATTGTCTACTTTCAGATATATTTCATTTATTCGACGACGGCTGACATTATAACTTCGACGGATCACATCCCGAAGAGAAGACCGGTAAGATGTGATTCGTTAAGTTTCATGCTAAGTTAAGATGAGATGAATGTGCAGCAACAGAGCTCTTAAGATCGATTTGCTGGATCTCTCTTCTTCTACAGGTAGTCTCTTTCACCCATTCTACATCTCCCACTATATCTGACTTGAGCATGGTCGAAAAGCCAGAAAATATACTCTTTTTCTCATCGCTATATTTTGCTTTGCGGAAGATCGTTATTGTGCTTTATTAGACATATAAAAAAGGTACGATTTCTGCTTTTTCCACGAAAGATATGATGAGAAATGTCACCTAAAGAGTGAGCCTTGAGTTTTGAAACCGATGAATAAATTGCATTTTACCATGAACTACTGATGCTAGAAACATAGCAACAGTCCTGTATGTACATCAGATGTATATCTTTATTTCTCTAAAATTTGGGCTTTCTAGGTACTGTTATTAGAAAGATACAACCATCACAATATCTTATATCTATTTCCCACTTTTTATTTTCAGAAATATTCGTCACATTTTTGGTTTTTAAAAACACCTGATGGAAGGAGGTGGATGGGTCAGAATGCGCAAAAAAAGTAAAGAAACACAACTACTGTCCACAAAGCTAACAATCAAAAATGTGACGAATATTTCTGAAAATAAAAAGTGGGGAAAAGATATACGATATTGTATTGGTTGTATCTTTCTAATAACAGTACATAGAAAGCTCAAATTTAAGATATACGTTTGATGTACATACAGGACTATTGGTATGTCTCTAACATCAATAGTTCATGGTAAAATGCAACTTATTCATCGGCTTCAAGACTTAGAGCCTATCCTTTAGGTGAAAGAGACTGCCTACAGGAAAGACCTTTGCCTGGAAAAAATAGATCTAACACTGATCCGTCTTCCTTCTCAATAAAATGTGTCTTGAATGAGATATTTGAGATGAATTTTTTATTTGAGTGCTCACATTGAGACATAAATCTTGACTGAATCCCTACTATGCCTTTCACAGTGTATGCTGTCCTCGACTGGATATTTGCACAGAAAGAAAACTGAAAGAGAATCACTGAAGATCACTTTTAGTCTCCAATATAGCAGTAAACCGTCGATCAACGCCGAAATACTGAAACATCTAGCGAATATCGCCGGTATTTCGGCGGTTAACCGCGCGGTATACCGACGGTATTGAGCACATGGGAAGCATCGATGCCACCGCGGATAACCAAATTACACAAAAATAAAATACGGCACTTAATTGATTATTTCATAACGTTTAATAGCGTTCAAATGTGTGTGCAGCATATCAAAGAGGAAAGGAAAGAAGATGATAAAATTGTTCTTATTGTTAGCTTTTTGTGAAACTCTCCTCACTCCTTTCCGATCAAGTTTGCACAGGTGTTTTATAAACTGGCATAGTGATATCCTTCCGACTTTTGAAGTATTTAACTGTTACTATAATTGACGTTTCAACCATTCCTCCTGGCAATATGATCCGTAATTACAAAGATATTTGTGTAAAAAGAATTAATCGAGCACAGCTTCATGTAAGTGTTTGTCTTCTCTTTCCAACATAGTATTTTCTCTCATGTGTATTTCATTTTTAAGAATTTATTCAGCAACGATAAGAAGGATGTACGTATAAAAGTTCATAGTGTAATTAGAACAACCATTTAACTGGTAGGTCGGCTTGTCCACGTAACGCGACACTTCGCCGATCAAGTCTTGTTTTTATTTTTCTCATCGGGAGATCGATGGGAGTCCATCACGCGACGTAGTTTTTCACGCTGATCACGAATTCAGCCTTTATCTCGAAAAAAGCATGAATTATGAATTAAAAAATTTTAATTTAAAATTTTTCCCTTTCGGTTCTTGCTCAAAAGATACAATTTTTGAAAAAGGTAGTTTTTGTAGGCTGATAAAAAGATTTTCGAAAAACCTTCATACTCCTTCGATGAAGATCAAATAACAATGAACCCTGATAGTACACACTGTGGACTATAGGATGACACCAATATGGGTGAGTCAAAGTCGAGACTTGGATTCAAGTTTCAACTCAAGAAATTCTGACTGGAGTCAGACTGAAATATTCAGAAAGTTCCAGTACGCTTCGGGTTTTTCGAATAAAGTGCTATATTGTTTAATTTATGGATTTTTAGAGCCATATATGCTATTTTATTGTTTTGTTTTACTAGAACAGAAAGAAATTGGAGCAACGCAGTATGAATTACCAGCCATCTCTGGAATCAGAACGTGCTGAAAAATCAAGCCGCGATAGAGTTTTGCAGGTAAAATGGAAAAATTAATTCCAGTATCGGAAACCGTAAATAAACTCAAGAATAGTGGTCTTGGACTCGGAAATGATCGGACTCTGTAATAATGCGCTTAGCTCAATATCGACTTTCTCTAAAAAGTTTGTGTTTGTGGGGGAGGAAGTTAAGTTAACCATCGTTTTCACGGTAAACAGTTAATAAATACTTTTAACGGTAATTAAAAAGTCATAACAGTCTGATTCCAAATACAATCAAATAAAAATCTTTATGGTTATTTGCCCTCAAATGAGAGTTGACGAGAGTATGATGCCCTCTTTAGTTTTTAGTCTTTTACTTTTACTTTTATCGATATAAGGTTTGGAGGGTAAAGGAGTGTAAGTTCTTCGTTTTAGAAACTATTGGCTATTTTGAAAGTCTCTGCGAAGGGAAAACTATTATGAAGTCATACAACGCACTCTTTCTCGCATTTCAGAGCAGGCCTGATGATTATTTTTCAAATCGTCTGCATCAGTTACACATAGTTCCATGTTGGCACTTGAGGAGGTTGGCACCTAAAAATGGAATCTGATTAAATTCAACTACTTTCAATATTTGTCAAATATGATTGACATCTTGTACATGGTCGTTGAAATAATGCCAGGATTTGATCTGTCATATTTGATCATACCCTTCCCTCCTTTAGACAGTATCATCACCAAGATTAGTCAATAATGACGCATGGTCAAACAACATACCTAAAAACATTTTGGTAAATGAAACTCAACCAAAAACTTCATTCAAGTTTGTGTAAAAAAAATATTTTATTTTTCGTTATAATCAAAATATCTTTTATAATTTTGTTGTTATTAGTTTTATTGCATATTTGCGATCATCACCATGTGCTCGTGCAGTCTTTCTACTCGGAATATCAGTTAGTATAACAATATTAACGGCTTTAATAGGCAGTACTGTTATTCTTACAAAAAGTAATTGTATTTAATGGAATCATTGACATGGAGATGACGCAAAGATCTCTGTTTCTTTTCTAGGTAAAACAACAACCTCGATGAACACGAGTAAGTGCAACAACAACTTCTTGTGACTATGTTCCTGGTTCGATTGATATTTTAGTTAATTTCTGATATAGTAAGGAACTATGAATCTGATTTAGTTTGAAAATTAGATGGTTATTTTTTTAAAACAATCAGTTCTTCTGTTATTTTGGTATAAAATCTGAGGCGTGAGATA